CCAAGATAAACGAGCGCTGTTAGGCGCATATCCAATCGTTTGTGCAGAGAATGGAAGCTAAAGCGCGCTGCAGGACATGGAGGCGCCAGCGCGATCACTTGCATTTTTTTTAAGAACAGCGGAAACTTAAAAATACGCCGTCATTTTTGCTCGTAAAGGTAAGAGTATACATCATTTGGAACTGCGAAGGGTCTGCTTGTATTTGTGTGCTCTCACAATATCAACAAAACCTTGTGCTTTTGTAAAATAAGGAAAACAAACAGGATGCGCTTTCGGTCCTCGTCATGTCATAATATTTTAAGAATAAAGTTAAAATTAAGATAATAAAATCATGTTATATAATATGAAAATTCCACACATAGGCCTACTCCTCCAAAAAATAAAAAAAGTATGTGGCATCCATCATTCTTTTGACTTTTTTTAAAACTCTGATTGATGATTCATGAGACTTTCGTTTGTATTAAGTTGTTCTGATTTTTTTCAACATGCATTCAAATATTCATGTTATTCCGTGCGGCAAATATTAAAGAAGAAAATATAATTGATTCATATGCAGCTTGAACTGAGGCGAATTCTCACTACAAATTAAAGAGCGTACACATTTTTTGCATTTGTCCTCATTTGTAAGTCGCTTTGGATAAAAGCGTCTGCTAAATGACTAAATAAAATAAAATAAAAATAAATAAATATGGGCCCGGGGCTAACTTGCTACGCCTCTGAATAAGACTGATGTACCCACGTTGTAACACAAATAAATGTAAGGTTTTTGCATTTTCCCCTTACTTTAAATGCATGCTTATGGCTCATTATTATTAATCGAAAAAAACAACAACAAAAAAAACATTTTTGACAACTTTGAACTTTTATTAACAAAATAAATAAGGATATGTTTTACTTGTGTTTAACACAAATAAATAGCCTATGGATTTCCCCTCAGGCTACCTTAAAACGTTCGTAGTTTGTGGTTTATCTTATTAATTAAAGCACATCAGCCATAAAATAGTACAATGGTAAATTCGCATTTATTAAACATCTACCTTGCATTGACAATGGATGGATATAGCCGTTGTAACCCAAATAAATAAGGTATTTTCCCTTATTTAAAACAGTGCTTAGTTTGTGGTTCATTGTTATTTTTTTAATGAAAACCCAGTAACAAAGACACTCACGTATAGGCTATTAAACGAATACATGAAAGTTTTTTTAACAAAAGTTGCGCTTTGGATCCGCCATCTAGTGTCAGTCTTCATGCATCACGTGACACCCAGCCCCCCCCCAGCTCAAAATACGTTCCCGCGGCTATGCCCCTGCTTCGCCCTCAAAAAGGATCTTACACATTTCTATCCATCAAACAGTCTGACAAATAACCAAGCATTTGTGTTTCTCTGAAAGTCTGTTTCTGTCCTATGGGCCACTAAATGCTTTGTAGTGTTTTTGTTGGTGCTGCTTTGTATTATCGGCCTTGAACCAGGTTTGTGTTGTTCTTTTGATTGTAAAAGTTGTGCTTTGGGGTATACAAGCTAAATCACTTACCGGAACATGTTCCAATAATTCATTTTAGAAATATACCTTTGTAAAAATGACTGCTGAAAAGGCCAAAATCATAAATGCAACCAGAAAAGAACAGTCATTACTGTTGAGTTAAAACAAATAGACATCTCAGTGTTTGTGTGTGTGCACGCAGAAGAGAGAATAAGGCTAGACCATGATCTCTCTGACACTGACCCCCTTTCCACAAGAGTCGCTCACCTCCATTGTCACAGCAATATGCTGAAAAATCCAATTATCCTTCCCAGACTGACTTTAGTTATTGAATATAGATGGAGCCTCTGAAGGTCAGGGTGTTCTCCTCATCACAGAAAGCACAGTGCCGTGTGCCTCCAAAAACACAAAGTACAACACAGATACTGCTGGAACTGAAAAGCATCTACCCGAAGGGTCACAGCCCCCTTGCAAAATGGGATTGAGATTTTTCTTGACAAACCTGTTTTACCTTCCTCCCAAACCGAGGACATCATTCAACATGGTCAGCAACCACATAGTGACATGCCAAGCCCCAGGTCAACCGAAGCAGCCTGTTTCCAGCGATCTTCTAGAAGGTCAGATGTCGGGCTGAATAATAGATCAAAGCTGACAATGCTGCAGACCTGCCGCTATTCCTTTCCACACTCTCGCATTGGACCACTGGGATTTGGCACTAACGGCTACGGCGTTTCAGGGGAACATGTCTGGGATTTGTTTAATCTGTTTTGAATGCTGATCTGAAGACAGGTTAGGTGTTGAATATGATGGTATTTGGCAGATGTGTGTTGTAGCATTTGCTATGGCTAGTCATCTCTAGCCTAGCCCTACCAGCCGTGAGTGTTTTTAACGCCATGGTTTTGTTCTACTTTGGCAACCTTTCTAACCTTGTAAGATTTTGAAGGTGGATCCTGAGACAGGCTGGTTTTTAGTAATGATGGCAGAAATCATTTTATGAAGAATACTGAATGTTTTTGTTCTCTTGCAGTGACCCTTAACTCTTCAGTTTTGAATGCTGATCCTTAAAGAATTTGGTGTTCGTAAATGGAATTTGGCAGATGTGTGTCATAACATTCACTGTAGCTAGTCATCTCTAGAGTGCTACCATAGACAAGTGATGTGGATCTTTTTACAGCCAATATTTTTACTTAATCTATTCATTCTCTTGGTGTCCACTATTTCATCTTGGTAGTTTGTTTTTTATAAGGATTTAAGACAAGTTTGTTTTTAGCAATGGTGGTATTCAGCAGACACGTGTTGTAGCATTTGCTCAGGCTTTTCATCTTATGAAGAATGCTTGTCCAGGAACATTTTTGTTCTCTTGCAGTGACCTTTCTCACTTTGTTCGGTTTTAAATGCTAATCTTTAGACAAACTGGATGTTAGCAGTGATGGTATTTAGCAGATAAGTGTTGTAGCATTTGCTGTGGCTAGTTATCTTGAGAGTACTAGTCCTATAGTGCCAGCAGTTCCACTTTTTACAAAGAATATTTTTCACTTAACATTTTCACTCAATTGCTGTGACATTTCTCACTTTAAGTTCTGAATGTTTGTCCTTTGACAGGGTTTGAGTTTGTAGCAGGCATGTGTCATACCACAAGCATGTCATCTTACTCTACCAAGAAAGCTTTTTACGTAACATTTTGTTCTCAAAATTTTGACCTTTCTCACTTTGTTGGGTTTTGAATCTGGACAAGTTGGTTGTGTCCCATAGCATTTGCTGCGGCTAGTTATCACTAGCATACCCAGATAGCACACGTGTTAAAGATCGCTTCATCTGGAAAGCGTCTGCTGTGTACAAACATCTGATAGATGTCTAAGATATCAGTTTTACATATATTCTAAATCATAAACATCTTAAAGACATTTTCTAAACGTCTATTTGACATCTAATAGGAAGCGTCCTAGACTTATTGCAGATGAGCAAACACTCTAAAAAATATATGTCTTGCAGATGTAAATGCACACTTCAAATAGACGTCTCCGTGATGTACGTGTGCTATCAGGGTTCTTACACAGCCAGAGTGGCACTTTGTTCAAAGAATATATTGTTCAATTAATGTTTTTGCTGTGTTAAATATCCTTTCCCATTTACATTTTCATTCAAGTTTATAAATGCTAAACGGAAGTTGGCTGTTAGCGGTGATAGTTTTTGGCAGATGCGTGTCTTAGCATGAAGAATGCTTTTCACTTAACATTTTTGGTTGTCATGCTGTGACCTTTCTCACTTTATTCAAAAACAATTAACCCCTCCGGGAAGACACTATTCCAGAAAGGCGAGAACATTTCACACAATTTTTTTCTTCTGTCGTGAACAACTGCTGTAAATTCACACATTTTTACAAAAGCTAACGTTTATCATGAGTAGAACATTCTGATTTCTACCTTTTCTGCAACACATAGCCTAGTAAATCAGCCAATACAGCAATTCTTTGTTTTCCACTGTACTCCAGCTGATGGAAATTGCATGAGCCGGAAGTAACATTTTTAGGAGAAAGAAATGTTATGATCTAGCACTAACCTGTGCAAGTCATCCATATTTCACCGCAAGCGCTCTTTGCTCTCCACCATCAGCAGATCTACGTATAATTAGAGCATTTCACAAATCAACTTGAAAACTGCAGTCCAGGTGCCTAGACTTTCTATCGTTTTCTCAGAATGTGATTAGTATTCTATAGAGAGGAAACTCAGTACGTTGCCTCCAGATTGGAGTTTTTTCCCACCAGTGAGACCCTCTCGAGCCAAATTGGAGACATTCTGTTGGGCTTTCATGTTCTTTAGGCTCCTGTGTGTTTGTGAGGGATGACTTTGACTGTCTAGCTTTACCATGTAATGGACTGTGTTTTTGGCCTGTGGGCCATTTTTGCTCCAGGAATACATAATGTGTTTAGATAACAGCTGTAGACCACATGCATCTCCAGAAGAAAGTTTCCCTGTAGGGGGGTTGGTGGCATACCTATTTGAATGCGTACTGGCAGCACGTTAGATGCTGGGCCGACTGCATTAACCACAGGCTTTACACACACTACATGTGTTTCTATATTTGGAATGAGAGTAGATGCATACAGTAAAAGATTGCTGCGGCGAGGACATGGCAGAAACATCTCAAGCTATGGCAGGGGATCTGCCAACTCTTGATTCTTATTTGCAACGTACATAAATGCTCACTGCAAATTCCTTCCTCTGAAGCTGTTTGTAATGCATGGATTTAAATGTGACACATGATTCACAAGCCCGCTGTTGTTTTTTTGTTTATTTATAAAGCGGATCATTTCGCTGTGCATAATGGCCAACATGTCACTTTAGCCATGACAGTGTACTGTAGAATGGCTTCAGCACTTAAATGACATTTAATAATTAAATAAATACATTTAATAAATACAAATCTGAAATTGAAAACATGTTTTACAAATAGTACTTTACATACACCTTTACATCACAGCTAATTGTTTTTCCTTGTTTGTTTAATTTTTTTTTTAGCAATAGTCCTGCGCACAAATATTACCTGGCTACTAGTCCCGTTTCGGGGGCCCTGTACCTTTCGGACACCAGCAGCAGGAAGGTGTTTAAAGTGAAATCTCTGAACACAGTGAAGGATGTAGCAAAGAACCTAGAGCTGGTGGCAGGCACAGGCGATCAGTGTCTTCCCTACGATGAGACGCGCTGCGGGGACGGAGGCAAGGCCGTGGAGGCCACACTTACCAACCCTAGAGGTAAGCCTCCATGTATCTGAATAACAGTGTCAACATATTTGAAACAGACAGTGATTTTGGCATTACTGGTTCAATTTTCCCATCATTCCCATTAGGCTATGAGCAAATTCCCTTAAATTAAAGATGCTGTAAGCAAATTCAGCTATTTTGCTTCAGCCACACATACTCTCTCCAAAAAGAGTTTCCTTTATATATTTGTACCGATACAAGCCCTAAGCGACTAAACTCAGAGCAAACCCCAAAACAATAGCATGAAATTGATAGCAGAATCTGCGGTTTGAATACACTTCTCAATTTTCCAGTATAGAGTACCCATTCTCCTAGTGTAGCATATGTATTGCTTTGAGGGGAATCATGGGGGGGCTACAATTAATGTTTCCTTCCATTTTCACCGACACAAAGCAATTATATAATGGCATTTCCATTTCCTAGTCTGTTAGGTTTTCCGTCATTTAAAAGTAAAGGAACATTTGTGACTGAAGCCGGGATTATCGATTATAAATGAAAGATGGTCACGTTTCCCTTTGTCATCCGCAGTGACGTTGAAATGAATCACATGCTCTAAAATCGCTTGAACAGAACCACATGCATCTCTCTTCCCCAGGATGCTCAATGCCTGGTTGTTGTTCCTCAGACATAAATAATGAATTTAGCACATGGATTTTTTATTAGACTTCTGGCTTCCTATTGAGCATGCTGATGCTGAGAGATATGCATTTCGTTCTGTCCTGACAATTATCACCATGTCATTCCAACTTTATTTATGGAATGAATATGTGCTTTGCATATATGCAGCTTCCTGTTGTTCCTGTTTTGTTTTGCGTTTTATTCTGTTTTTTTTTTTGGTAGTGAATCTGAAATTTGCACAGGTCACATTTCACATCAAAATCTAAAGGGATTAATTACTGTAATATAGTAAATTTTAATGTACTACATATTTTTTAAAAATTAGACTTTTTTTTATTATGGTATTGAGAATTGTATTGTAAATATAAAAATGAAAAAAGTATGTTATGTTACAAAAATAGGTTTAATTTTCTATAGTTAACTATATTTCTTAAATTTAATTACATTTATTTTATTTTATTTTGTGAAATATGAATCTCATTGACAGCTATGTAATTCACCTAATTGTTGATTATGTAAGATAATTTTTTAGAGTCAGTCCTCCTAGCAGAGATCCATTCCTTTTTTCTGTCTCTTGTCTCCAGGCATTACTGTGGATAAGTATGGCGTGATCTTCTTTGTAGACGGCACCATGATCCGCCGCATCGATCAGAACGGTATCATATCCACCCTGCTGGGCTTCAACGACTTGACTTCGGCACGACCCCTGAGCTGTGACTCAGTGATGGACATTGTTTCAGGTCATTGTAGTGGCGATAGAAACTAAAGAGTTCAAGGTGGGCGGAGCTTAGCGAAAGGTCAATTCTGCATCCTGAATTTGATTGGAATTTGAATGGTGCGCAACCCTGTTATCTACAGCAACGGCTGCTCCAAAACACCATGTCTTCCAACTTAAGTGAGCGATTATTTTCCTTTTTTATGACATGAATCAGAATTGATAAGAAACATCGGAGTAAGGACTGTATTTTGAAAAGGCTGTTTAAGAAGGCTGCTTTCGGACAAGGTCAAGCCTGCGTGTTCTCATTACGCGTGCTTGAGCGTATGTTGAAGGATTTAACGGCAGCTGTTCTAGTGTTGGATTTACGAGGGTGTGAGCCGTTTATTCTCTCTCTCTCTCTGTTAGTGTGAAAGTGTGAGTAGACAGAGATATAGAGATGCTACATCCTGTCTATCACTCTCAGAGGTATCAAATCCCAGCCCTCCCCACACACACACACACACAAATACACAGGCGTTGAATATTTAATCAAAGAAAATGGATTTGATAAAGAAAGAATTACCCTGATAGCACAAAAACACCAAGACATCTGTTCGTCGAGTGCATTTTCATCTGGAAAATTTATTTCTTTTTTTTCATGCAATATGTTGCAAAAAGCCAAGGATTCAAGAATCAACATTCTTTCTGGTCCTGGAATAACATTTCTAGGGATGAGTCATCCGCTAATCATATCCTTAATGCTAAACCTACCCTAGAAATTGGATGGAAGTGATTGGTGGGTTAGAATGGTTGAATCCCTAACCCCCTGACAAGATTACTGTACTCTTGCAAAATTGAACATGCAGCATTATGATGTCATATTTCATTATTATAGAATAATTGTGTTCTGAATTCTGAAATGTAAAATACTTTACTTATTGTTGCATTATGCATGCTCATATGTTCTTGTTTCACAAATGCAGCTTTTAAGAAATATTAAGCACTATACTGTGTATTCTGTAGCCATCCACTCATGCAGAAATATTACCCGTAACTCCTCACCCAGAGTTTTCCAGGTATTTTGAATTGTCAAGTGGTATCAAGAAGTATTAAGTATTAATGCTAAATTATAGTTTATAATTTGATATTAAGTGACTAAGTCTGTCAAATGAAGTTTGTAGCCTTTTTTTATCTGTTTGCTTGACTCTCTGATGAAAATGTCAGCATAATGTATATATATATTTTTTTTTGTCTCTTCAATTATAAACAGTGACATTTAGGAATATACATTGAACAAAATTATAAACACTTTTGTTTTTACCCCCATTTTTCATGAGCTGAACTCAAAGATCTAAGACTTTTTTTATGTACACAAAAGGCCTATTTCTCTCAGATATTGTTCACAAATCTGTCTAAATCTGTGTTAGTGAGCACTTCTCCTTTGCCGAGATAATCCATCCACCTCACAGGTGTGGCAAATCAAGATGCTGATTAGACAGCATGATTTATTGCACAGGTGTGCCTTAGACTGGCCACAATAAAACGCCACTCTAAAATGTGCAGTTTTATGACACAGCACAATGCCACAGATGTCGCAAGTTTTGAGGGAGCAATTGGCATGCTTGGCATGCTGACTGCAGGAATGTCCACCAGAACTGTTGCCCGTGAATTGAATGTTCATTTCTCTACCATAAACCGTCTCCAAAGGCGTTTCAGAGAATTTGGCAGTACATCCAACTTGTGGCCAGCCTAAGGCACACCTGTGCAATAATCATGCTGTCTAATCAGCATCTTGATATGCCACACCTGTGAGGTGGATGGATTATCTCGGCAAAGGAGAAGTGCTCACTAACACAGATTTAGACAGATTTGTGAACAATATTTGAGAGAAATAGGCCTTTTGTGTACATAGAAAAGTCTTAGATCTTTGAGTTCAGCTCATGAAAAATGGGGGCAAAAACAAAAGTGTTGCATTTATAATTTTGTTCAGTATATTATGAGAAAGTCAGCAAACTTTGAAGGCAGATTTTAATGTACTACATTAGTCATGCTATTTACATAGTTTTTCTCACTTCTCCATTAAAACCAACATGTCCCAGTCGACGGCTCCAGACTAGTTTGCAATTTATATAATACTTTTAATATTAAGCTCAGCTTGGTAGTTTTCGTCTATTCTCAGAATGCATTAAAAGCATCTTTTAATCAGCCAGCCTTGTTAGCATGCCAAGAACACTATTGAAATAAGACACTTCATATTCGGCCCGTAAGAGAGTGATTACGTTCCCCTAGTGAAGAGCGGGTCTGTGCAAATTCACCATATTCAATCATTTCTATGTTAAAAGCCTGCTGCATTATTTTCAGAACAATAAGTCATAATTTAGGCAGCCAAGCAGGAGGCAGCGGGTCTTATTTGATATGTGTGCCACGTTTTGTTTCGAAGGTCCTGTTCCCCTGCTGCAATCGCTTTTTGAATTATGAAATTATGAAATTAATAAGCCAAAGCTAGAAAGACATCCATGTGGAGGGGTGACCGATACGGTGCAAGTATTTTGTTTTGGGAGTCCATGTGATTATTCTCACCGCTGTGCTTTAATCTGATCATTTGACTCGCTTTTTCTCTCCCGCTTCTCTTTCTTATCACCATATCAACTTCCTCTTAACTTTCGTGTTTATCATATAAATCATCCTCAATTCAAGAACTGTTTGTCTTCTGCAGCAATTGTGACCTATTCGAACCTTCTCTGTGTGTGTGTGTGTGTGTGTGTGTGTGTGTTTGTGTCTGTGTCTGTGTCTGTGTCTGTGTCTGTGTCTGTGTCTGTGTCTGTGTGTGTGTGTGTGTGTGTGTGTGTGTGTGTGTATGTTGTCATACTTGCTTTTCCATTAGTAATGTAGTTTCTGGCATTTTGGTTTTCACTTTCTCTGTAGAAAAGAAAATGCAACACTCACTCTACAAACAGAAATGTAACTTTATTTCTTTAAAATAAAAGTTTCTGCCAACATCAAACATCAAGTGTTTCTCGAGCAAATGGTGCATTCCAAATAACCTTTACAATAGGCAACAGATCCATGCCTCTATCAGATGGAGTAGTTAAAAAAAACACTCAAAAAATACATAAATCATAGTTTTAAATATATCAATATTTAATAAAAAAAGGGGGGAATAACGTTTTGAAATTAAACAAATTTGCTCACTCACTCAAAAAAACACTCATCAATATTATTAAAACATGCCATGATGAGTACTTAATCAAGAAATACATTATGCCATGTTTTATTGATATGATTAAAAATAAAAAAATGTGCCATTTAAGAGGACATCGAGAGGATGATTTTAGCAATGTATTATAAGCAATATATAATTGTCAAATATTTTTGAATTTAAAATTGTGATCTTTGTTTTATTCAGTCTTTTGTGTATGCCAAACAAATATTGAGTTTTTTAATTCAATATTTTTGCAGTTAAAATTGTTTTATCTTGATTTATGTGATTTATTTAAGTGTGATTTAAGTTTTTTTAAGTTACTCCCTGCTTATTGTAAAGGTTCTTTAAAATTTTTCTGTTTGCCTGTGAAACTCTTGACTGATGTCTGATGAAGACCTTGAAGTTGGCAGAAACATCATTGTTTATTTATGTTTATGTTTGAACATTTTTCTAGAGTTGGGATTTAGAATTTTTTTTTTTTTAAGTTGATTTGAGTTGAGCCTTCTCTACAGCTGGTTGAGCACCTGCTTTTCACTTTTGGTTTTCACTTTTTTCCTGTGACAAATATATTTTCAAACCTAACAAATAAAATATATTCTTAATGTTGCTTTATAACAGTGTATTTTCCCCTGTCTCCTATAGGTGCGTCTAGAGTGGCCCACTGATCTGGCGGTGAGCCCCATGGACAATTCGCTTTATGTTCTGGACAACAATGTAGTCCTGCAGATCTCAGAGAACCATCAAGTGAGGATAGTAGCGGGAAGGCCAATGCACTGCCAGGTGCCCGGCCTGGATCACTTCCTCGTCAGCAAAATCGCCATCCACGCCACCTTGGAATCCGCCAACGCTCTCGCCGTCTCCCACAACGGCTTGCTTTACATCTCTGAGTCGGACGAGAAGAAGATCAACCGTGTCCGACAGGTCTCAACAAATGGAGAGATCTCTCTGGTCGCTGGCGCCCCCAGTGGCTGCGACTGCAAGAACGACGCTAACTGCGACTGCTACTCGGGCGACGACGGCTACGCCAAAGACGCCAAGCTAAACGCGCCCTCCTCATTAGCGGTTTCACCTGATGGAGAACTCTTCATCGCTGACCTGGGAAACATACGCATCCGATATGTCAGGAGGAACAAAGCATTCCTCAACCCTCTCAACATGTTTGAGGTTCCCTCGCCAATTGATGACGAGCTCTATCTGTTTAACGTGAACGGGAGTCACATCTACACTCAGAGTCTGACCACTGGAGACTACCTGTACAACTTGACCTACTCTGGTGAAGGTGACCTGAGCAGCATCACGGATAAGAATAAGAACAAAGTGACCATTCGTAGAGACACAACGGGATTGCCGCTCTGGCTGATGGGTCCCGATGGCCAGACGTTCTGGTTCACTATTGGAACTAATAATGCGCTGAAGAGTGTTGCTGCGCAGGGTCAAGAGATTGCCATGATGACTTATCATGGAAGCTCAGGTCTGCTGGCCACAAAAAGCAATGAAGACGGATGGTCTACCTTCTATGAGTGAGTATGCTTTCTACTTTCTGTTTACTGTTTTCTATACTAAAGGCTAAAAACCTTTCCATGGCGCATCAAGTGTAGAATCTAGCAAGATAGTTCTGGCAGGGCACGTTAGTCAAGCTTGCATCAGCTGACTCTCAGCTGATCCCCATCAACCTATGGGAATACGACACCTATCTAAGTATTCATATATAAGGTCCCTCAGTATTATCAGCAGTTTTCACATTGATCAATAGCTAATTACCCTCCTCCATCCCCAGCTCCTCCTCTGTCAGTCAGGATTCAGCCTTCTGATTCTCCTTTGAATCAGACTAATTCTAAAATGTGTACATAACATTATTGAACTTTAACGATATCTGCAATACATTTATGTTGGTTCTGTTCTGTTTACCCTGGGGAGGGGTATCGCTGCTCTCCCTGCTCTCATCCATGCTAGGCTGCATGGATGCGCAGGGAGTTCTTGCCCAGAACAGAGCCATACTGCCAATCCACACTGTAATTTATTTATTTTTTGCACGAGATTTAACTCGTGCAAAATGTAACATTTGTGTGAAGCATTTATAATGTTAATTTTTAATATTAATAATAAGGTTTGTATATACACAAATAAAATGTATGCATTTACAGTATATATTTGTATATGATGTAGTTACATAATCCTAAAGATAATTTATTTACATTATTATATATTATTAGAATGTATATATTATTATATAGAAGTATATATAATGTATTGTTTATATTTAACATTATTATTTTGTTGTTTAAACTTGTAATGTAATTACAATACATATAATACACAAATAAAATGTATACATTTAAAATCAAACATTTATATGATGTAAATGTTGATAAGCTTATATAATCTTACAATTGATTTGTTATATTATTAAAATGATATATCAATCATTATTTTTAATTATGTATTTGACTTAAAATTGTTATATTAGAGAACATACCCTATATAATATAATTATTATATTATATGTATTATATTATATTATTTAACAGTCATATTTAGATTTTTTTTAATTATACATGTGTACATTTATGTACATATGTACATATATATATATATATATATATATATATATATATATATATGTGTGTGTGTGTGTGTGTGTGTGTATGTGTGTGTGTGTAAATGTTGATAAGCTTATATAATCTTACAATTGATTTGTTATATTATTAAAATGATATATCAATCATTATTTTTAATTATGTATTTGACTTAAAATTGTTATATTAGAGAACATACCCTATATAATATAATTATTATATTATATGTATTATATTATATTATTTAACAGTCATATTTAGATTTTTTTTAATTATACATGTGTACATTTATGTACATATGTACATATATATATATATATATATATATATATGTGTGTGTGTGTGTGTGTGTGTGTGTGTGTGTATGTGTGTGAATGTTGATAATATTACATAATCTTAAATAATAATATTTATATTAATATTGTTGTTTTGATATATAATTGTTTTATTTGACTTTAATATTTAATATATATATATTTTTTTTTTATTAAAATTATATGTATAAGTAAAATGCTTTTCAGTGCCCACAATATCACAATCTTTTTATACTTATTTAAGCTATATCTGAAAAAGACAAATCAGTTTTTGGCTGCATATAGAGTTTTACATTCATCACTATGTACTTTACAGTGCTGCTTCACTCGACTATTGGAAGCTAAATTTACTCTTGCTCAGCGTACATTGCAAAGGTCTTGGTTGGCTGTGGGTCATGTTACTGTAGATACAGTCAAGAGTTCACGAGGTCTCTGTGGTTTATTGGACTTCAGTCATCTGCTGTAAGGTAATTGGTTTCAAGAGTATCTCAGACAGAGTTGTTTTTAGAGTTCCTGCTTCCGTAGTTCAGGCGCTCATTTTCTTTTCACATTTACAGAATCTAACCTTTAATATTTATTTTGATTATATGAATAAAAATACAAAAAAGTTAAATATTTATGTTATGTATGCCTGAATATAAATTGGTCGGTGTCAGCCATTGTTCAGTTCCATTTGTGTTTTTACCCATGGTGTGTGTATAAGGCTGAATTCTGGTTTTCAGTCAGTTATAATTGGTTCTGCATGTAACTCTAGGTAGTCAGTGGTGGCACAGGCCCGCCCGCTAATTCCCACTAGCTTATGTAAGACAACAGCTACAGTATTTGTGTAAGTTTTCTATTTTATTCCAATTACAAATGAAAATTTTAGTTTTGCCTGTAGTCCCACCCAAACAGTAAATCCATCCTACACCCCTGTAACTGATTCCAGATTAACTCAAATGTAAACCTTTTTCTAGAGAAAATTATTTTGTCCCTCAGTCTGTATAACAGAAGAGAAAATGTGTTTGTGTTAATGCTTCTGTAGCATATTCATTAGCATATTACTTTCATGTGACCTTGACTGTAGACAAAACTAATTTAAAACTACTTCACACACATTTATTGTGTGTACTGTTTATTTTAATGTGCAAATCCTGCATATTTGATAAGGCAGAGTAAATGGTTGTAGATAACCAACTGTAAGTGGCATTGCCTCAAGGGTTCAAGAAAGTTCAGTTTTTCCTCCTTTGTTTCAGTCCCATGCTGTCATATCATTTATTTAATCCCCCTTTGATAATGAGCAAATGGCAGGCAAAGTACATTTACTCGATAATTGCAATTAGTGAGAGAGAAAAAAACAATAATTAACATCAGGAATAGTTGCTCTGTTGTTGTTTTTTCCTTCCTTAGCAATTAGATCTGTCCATTCCCTCAGGCAACATGAGGTCGTCTTTTGTGATAAAGAAAGCTTGATTGTTGTTTTTTCCTTATTTTTATTATTATTTATTGTTTTTCTTTTTCTTTTTTTTAAGTTGTAATTAGATATTTTATTTTCTGTTATCCTGCACTAGAACAGAGCAGCCTAAACAATTTATTTGCACACTGCAAAGTATGGCATGCGCGGTTTATCATCTCTGCCACCTGAATTCATTAAGTCCCTGTGAAGCGTGTTCTTCTGCGGACGTTACAACGAGCAGGACTCGTGCATAAACTATACGACGAGTAGCACAAGCATTACAAAGACATCTGCTACGATGTCCAACTATTCAGCTCTGGAGGAAACATGTTATTGTGTATACTGAGAGAATGTTCTGTGAAACAAGTTCCATTTTTAAATATATTGAATTCATATTTCTATGAGTTTCAATTCAATTTTTTTAATTCTGGAACATGTGCATTTTTCCACTCAATTAAACAGAATTTGCAGTTATACATGTCAGAGCTACCTTAAAGGATTTGTTCACCTTACGTTCTGTCTATTTTTTTCACCCTCAAAAACCTGCATGATTGTCCTATATAGAACACAAAAGGAGAAATATTGAAAAATGCACTGGTTGCTCTTTTCCATCAATTTCAGTGAATAGACAATGAGGCCTTTAGGAATATTTTTAAATAGCTTTATTATAATCAATGAACTTTCACCAAAAATGCCATTCTTAGTTTAATAATTTTATATATAAATGTAAAATTATTATTATTACATATTACTCCATATCAAAAGTGACAGTAATGTTGTATGTATAATGTTAAAAAAGAGATTTCTATTTCAAATAAATGCTGCTAATTTGAACTTTAATCATTAAAGAATCCTGAAAAATTGTATCGTGGTTTACACAAAAATATTAAACAGCACAACTGTTTTCAACATTGATAATAATAGGAAATGTTTTTTGATGACCAAATCAGCATATTAGAATGATTCCGAAAGATCGTGTGACACTGAAGACTTGAGTAATGATACTGAAAATTCAGCTTTGCATCACAGAAATAAATTACATTTTAAAATATATTAGAAAATAGAAAACATTATTTTCATTTGGAACCATATTTCACAATATTACTGTTTTTACTGTATAATTGATCAAATACATGCAGCATAAGAGACTTCTTTCAAAAAACATAAAATATTAGTACAGTAGAAATCTCTTAGTAGTACATCTCGACTAATACTCCAATCCCAGGGTGCTTTGAGGCGGTCAGTTTGCAATGACTACAATAGGCTGCTGCTCTAAATGGAGATGTTTGGTCACCAAGATGAATCAGTCTGCACTTACTCCACACTCGGCCTGCTGAGAGAGTGCTCACGTGGAGGCTGGCTAGTAAAAAACATAGGGAGGAAAGGAACAAAGTAGAAGAAGAAAACAGGATCATCTAGTTCGCTTGCCAAAGAACAGAACAAAACCGTTGTGGGTCGACTGCAGTCATTCACTCCTCTATTTAGTTGCCAGCCTCCAACCTCCTTTCTTTGCGTCATGTAAAAAAGGAAAAGCAAAAATGATACGATGAGAAGAGTTTTGGATGGGGAATAAAGAGGCTGCTAAGAAACATACTGTATTACCAAGCTTTTGGCTTTCACCTCTTTATTACTTCTACAAATGAGATGGAGGAGACACATTTTGTTCTCTATATACAGTGATTTTTCTTTAGCGTGTAGAGCCTGTGAAAGTTGGGACGTGGTTTAGATGGTCCAAGCACCTTTGTGGTAAAAAGGAAATCTTAGATTTGAATCCCAAGGATATTGTATGAAAGTCATAGAAAATAAAAATATCTCCAGCAAATCAAATTTGTTTGTACAATATTAGCGTTGAAGATCTTAGTGTTTCTTGGTTTCACTTGCTGGTGTCACTTTTAGTTGGATGAGCGATCTGTCTGCAAGAGTACTACTCAGTTCTTTCTCCCTGTGAAATTGTCATATTGCATTATATTTTCAGATTACCAATGACCAATGAATTTGACGCTGTACAGCTGCGTTGAAGCTCAAACTAGCCGTGTTCTTAAGGGATAGTTCATGCAAAAAAAGAAAGACATTTCTGTCATTTTCTCATCCTCAGGTCTTTCCAAACGTTGACTTTCTTTCTTCTGTGGAACACAAAAGAAGACTCTTGTAGAACAAATTGGGAGCCAAACAGTTCTTTCTCAAAATATCATCTTTTGTTTTTCACAGAAGAAAGAAAGTCATGAAGGTTTGGAACGTCAGAAGGGCTAGAAAATAATGATTTTCATTTAAGTCTAAGCACTCAACTTCACAAGCCACGAGGGCCACATTCAAATACAAGAAGCCTGTTGGGAAAATTGAGCCTTTAGAAGAAGTTCTTACAAATAAGGTCAGTTTTGTTTCAAAAATTGAAGTTGAAGTGTTATTTTTGTGCTTCTTGTGTAAGCATACCGAAGTAGAAAAATAATGATGTCTGCCACAGTGGTAAAAAGTTCCAAAAATCAAGAAAGGACATTATACCTCTCTCCATTATCATCCAAAATATTTGGTTTTGTGACACAGTTGCATTTTTTCATTGGCCGTTCTCTTGCTTGTACAACTCACTTTGACTATCCAGACCTGCATTTGATTGAAATCCACACTTGGTCTCATTAAAGACTAATCGAGCCATCTTTTTTTTCACACTCTGTTCTCTCCATCTCCACAGGTATGACAGCTATGGGCGACTGACAAACGTGACCTACCCCACGGGCAGGGTGAGCAGTTACCGCACTGATTCGGACAGTACTGTGTGGGTGCAAACAGAGGGCTCCAACAAAGAGGACATCATGGTCACCACCAACCTCTCGGCCTCAGGAACCTTCTACACACTCATGCAGGGTAAGAACATCTGCAAAGTCCTTATTGAACACATCCTAGGGGACAACACTTAGCCTAGACATTATAAATGCAGTACATTTAAAGGGTTAGTTCACAAAATGAAATTTTGCCATCATTTATGTCATTCCAAACCTTTATGATGTGACCACCCATGGTAAGCTCCAAAAATGAGAAAAATCATAATGAGAGTAGTTAATATGACTTGTACTTTATATGTCAAGGCAACTGAATCCATTCAGTGACCGCTAACTGAAGAACTGCTGCAAATTAATCATTAAAGGTGGGGTAAGCGATTTTTCAAAAACGCTTTAGAAAACTGATTCGGGCCGACTAGCAAAACAAACTTGTAGCCAATCAGCAGTAAGGGGCGTGTCTACTCATGATGTTGAGGAGAGAGCGTTCAGTGCACAGGACGGACATTAGCCGAGCCGAGCGACAGAAAGATAGAGATGGTGGATAAAAAACAAAAGAGGAAAATGTCTGCGGAGCAAAAGAAGGCTTAAGGCAATAAGGCAAGAAGTAGGACTCGTGTAAATATCGGATCAGCTTTCCAGCGCTGGAGAGAACTCAAGGAGCGGAAGGCCTGCGATCGGACGCCGAGGTTGCTTTGTTTCTTTTCGATAGTTGAGTAACACCGTGTCTGCGCTGCAACAGCTAAAGTCTGTCTAATACACTGGACGCGACAAAGCGACCGTTGAAAATCATTTGAAATTTGTGTCAATACGTCATGAATAAAATGCAGTTTTCTGTCGGGGATTTGTTGTGTCGCATCCAGTGTAGACCATAGATATGTATATATATATCTATGGTGGACAGCATTACTGATTATAATGAGTTCTATAGTATTTTGTCGTGCCGCGCCACTCGCGTCTGGTGTGGACATGGTGTAACATCGGTTTTGCTTTGTTTCACAGAACTAATCGTTGCCTGGGTTGCATACGTATGTGTGGGGCAGAGCTATCAAAATAGGGGCGAGACCCTTTTAGGGTAGGGGCGTGTATGTTTTGGTGATTTCAAATGTCAACATTGGCTACCAGAAATTGCTTACCCCACCTTTAAGTAAATGAATTGAACTCAAGAACTGGATTAAAGTATGAACTGTAGTTTTAAGCTTGTTCTTTTTAATTAATCATTTGTTCGTGTTCACAAATCAGACTGTATGATTTGTGCATGAGTCAAAGTAATCTGTTTCTCAAGCTCGCTTACACTGAATCGAATGATTCAGTCATAATTGTACATGAGTCAACAGCTTAGTAGAGGGGAAGATTATTAGTGAATAATGAATTAGTGAATAATGATTTTACTATTCAGCAAGGATCAATTCAATTCACTAAAATTACAGTAAAGACTGTAGTGTTATAAGTTATAATATGTAATGTTAGTAAAACTGTATTTGTGTGTGTTTTTTTTAAGTCTGCAAATAGAGATCCAGAAAGTTAAAAAAGTTAACGGAGAAAAGTTGGCAATAGAATTAAATTTAATCTGGCAAATGTCAGACATATTAGGAATTATTTAACCACTGAGGCTTCAAAGTTATATGTTAATGCTATGATTTTTTCACATATGAACTACTGCCTCACCAGTTGGACACAGACAGGTGTGACTACTTTACAACCAATAGAAAGACTGTATAAGCAGGCTTTGAAAAGATTGGATACAAGGTCTAATTTATATCATCACTGTAAAATCTTAACAAAATATGGTCTTTTAAACTGGGAAAATATGATAAAATTTGTAGATGTTTTACTTGTGTATAACATTATTGGGGGGGGGGGGGGCAGCGGCCCTTCCACATAATGAATTTATTACACAAAATTTTAATTCCTCTACTTGAGCCACTACTAAAGGGGACTGTATAATATCACATAGAAGAAGTGCTTTTGGCCAGTCAGCATTTTCCTATAGCAGCACATACCTGGAATACTATACCTATAGAACTAAGAAAGATTACATATTTTGCTTCTTTTTCTGAGTTGATAAAAGGGTGGTTGTTGGATAATCAAACATGTCTTCATAATTTGAAGTAGTGGTTTCTTGCTTGCTTCTGGTTTTTATATTTAAAGTATTTTGTGTTTGTGACTATGTTTGTTGGAATGTTTGTTCTTTCTTCTTATGTTTTATGTTCTTGTGGACTTTGGTTTTTACCATCAACCTGCCAGGGTCTGCATATGAATATTAGCCTGTATGGCACATTTACATGATGGACTTGAGTGCTCGTGTTAATTAATGTGCATTGTCTATTTTAAAATAAAGAATAAAAAATCTCTTTCAAATAAATGCAGCTTTTTAAACTTAAAAGCTGTAAAAAAAATAAATAAATAAATGTAAAAAAATTATATATATATATATATATATATTAGTGGTGTCAAAATTAGCGTGTTAATGCAGGCGATTCATTTTTTCAGTATTTTTATTAATTAAATTTTTTTTTTCAAACGAGTTCAAGCGAGCGCGGAAACGGTACGGTAGTAGGCTACTCGGCGCACGCTCTTCAATTGCACGCACAAAGGCGCCTAAATTTTTCGGGAAGTTGTGGCCTAATTGTTAGAAAGTCGGACTCGTAAACCCAAAGGTTGCGGGTTCGAGTCTCGTACCGGCAGGGATTGTAGGGGGGGGTCGATGCAGAGTGAAAATGGCTGTGCATTTATTTGTGTTTTAACTCGATGGGAGTGAAATGAAACTGTCAGAACGCTAAACTGTGTGTGTGTTGTCTGTCTCCCCTCTTCCCCCTCCTCCGCTCCGCTGCGCACCACGCCCACTTTTTTAGCATTTTTTAAAAACTGTGGTGAGAACTAACCAGTGCTGAAACGGAGGGTTTCATGACCCTTTAAGAACTCTGAAATGGATTTCAAAACTGTCCTGGAGTAGCCCAACACTGTCTCCCTCATCTAACACAACCAGTTCAACACGCGCTGCTTTTGCAGGTTCCGTGAAAACGTTTCAGCTTTTATTTTTATTTTTCACCCTGAAGAAGATATCACAGGTTCATCAAGTTTGTCGAAACTATCCATCATCGATCACTTTTAGTCAGCTTTGACAAAACTCTTCTCAGCTAGCACGTCTTTTCAGTGTGAAAGTAGCCTTGTCACCTGACCTGAATACAGCGCGCTGATTCGCTAAAATTAACTCGATGGTAGTGAAATGAAACTGTCAGAACACTAAGCTATGTGTGTGTTGTCTGTCTCCCCTCTTCCCCCTCCTCCGCTCCGCTCCGCACCACGCCCACTTTTTTAGCATTTTTTAAAAACTGTGGTGAGAACTAACCAGTGCTGAAACAGAGGGTTTCATGACCCTTTGGCTATATGTGGAGAATAATGCAAATTTTTTTAAAGTGGCATTTATCGGTTTTTGCAAATGAACTCTTCACACACATATATATATATATATATATATATATATACAGTGGGGCGTCTAGTGTTCCACCATGGTGAGTAAAAATATTAAATATAATGAATTATGCATAAATGGAATACAAATGCATAACAGCACCTAAAATAACCTATTAACCAGCTGCTGGGATGTCTGTTCATCAAAGAACAAAAGAAAAAAAGAGGAAATCAATCAATTTTATAGCTTTAAGGATCCATCTATATTTAATTTAGAATGTAGTGTTTGATAACTTTATTCAATTTCTGTATATTTCCTACTTGCTGAAGGGCACAGGTAGCTAAATATGACATTGGTTATAATGGGTTTATGTGAAGATTGTTTAAAGTTCACTTAAATTAGAAATAAATATTAAATTGATAGCTCTCAATTATACTGTAATGTTGAATGGCTATAGTCAATGGTTAAATATTAGGGGACATTTTTTTTATAGAGGCATCAGTAGTATTGGTGTCAGTGATACTGGCCTTCACTCATAAAAAAAAAAGATGCCATTAAACAAATATTAAAGATATACTGTATTTATGTTGTTTCTACATTAATTTGAAGATTAAATGTGAAATTATTGCAATATAAAAGCAATTTTAAAAAAGTGTAATGTTAGGTGGGATTAATCGCGATTAAGTTCAGAAAATCATGCGATTAATTAGTTAATTTTTTTTAATCGATTAAAAACTAATCTCTCTCTCTCTCTCTCTCTCTCTCTCTCTCTCTATCTATCTATATATATATATATATATATATATAACGGTTGTTGAAGATTCTTCCAAATATCATATTAAACAAAATATCACATTAAGAAAGTTGTACAAGTTTGGAAATGACATGAGGGTGAGTAAATAAAGGAAAGAAAGGAACAGGTTGCACAAAAGTAATTACTGCCTTTGTTCTCTTATACACTACAAACTTAGTAGCTGTAGATAAAGTAAAATAACTGTGAGGCAAAATTGATATGTTTGTGGGAAGCAAACAAGCCTCTTCTTCGTGAAATCAATAAAGGCACGAGTGTTTGTATTTTCTCTAAAATCGCAAGCCCGCCCACTCATGAAGACATGAAGTCCAGATTGATTTTCTGTCCACTACTTCTGTTTGTTCCAGCCTCCCCTTTTCACCAAGTTCCTGCTTTTCCTGTCCGTCTTAGAAAACCAAATCTTAATCACTTTAGCCCTCGAGACAGAGGGGTGTGGTAGGGGTCAGGGGCCGCCTTCCTAACTTGTGATTTTCCTTGCATACTTTGGCATTTCGATATCCTGGTTTTCACCTAACCAAGCGCTCCATTGATTCCCAATAAATAGCTTTGAACTCTCCTTGCCCTGCTCTATTTCCTCAGAAACTGTAAAGATTTTTGGCGCTCCTGTGAGCGTTTGATTTGAAGGGCTGTCCTCCTCCCCTGGGCTTCAGTTGGTTTACTGAAGACTGCGTCTGAGAGAAGAGGTAGAGGACGTAAAGTTCTGTTGGCGTTCTTATCCTAGATTTAACTAATGGTCACCTACACATGCGACCTTGTCTTGGACATCTGCTGGAGAGAGAGAAAGAGGGCGCCCTGCCAAACGCTTTGCTGCTAATTAATTCACTATTGTCTGCTTTGTAAACGGAAACCAGTTTGGCTCTAGCTCCAACACAGAGTTTCGCTCACGCAATCTGGATATACATTTCTTGGAGGTGGTGACCTTGTGCTGTTTATTGACTTTCCAAGGTTGTGTGAGTGTGTGTTCGATTTCCAGGTCATTCAGTCTGAGGTTTTTTTCAGCGCACCAATATTATTTACCTGAATAAGGTATAAAAACGATCTACATGCTGACCACGAGCTGTTTATGAATTTGACATTGATATGATCCAGTTCATGCTAAACTCAACTCACTCATCTACAAAAACAGTATAAAGAGGACAACATGGACAACTCATGGAAAAATACGGCTTTAAGAATGGAAGTCCCACCTTTCAATTAAAAACAGCCAGTGAGGGTTTTTGTTGAGTGATTTGTAAAAAAGGCGCTAAATTTATGATGCCATATTATTTCAGATTTTTATGGAAGCCTCTTTCTGCTTCAGACTAAAAAAATCTGAGTTTAAAATAGAAATAAAGTCTCATTGTGAGATAAATTTGTAGTTACAAAATATAAAGTAGCATTGCAAGATATGAAGCTGCAGCTACTAGAAACAAAGTAACAATTATAAGATGTAAACTATTTGTCATAATGGGACTTATATTTTGAAATATAAATTTGCAATTGCAAGATATAAAGTCACATTGCAAGATATAAAGTTGCAACCGCTAGAGACTTAGTCACAATTATGAGATATAGTCAAATTGTGACAAATTTGTTTATGAGAAATAGTCACATTTAGAGAAATAGAGAAATAAGTGAGATATACATTTGTAATTATGAAATATTAAGTCACATTGTGAAATACAAAAGTTGCAACTGAAACAAAGTTCCTAGATAGCACACGTATGTCTGCAAGATCTCAGTTCTTCATCTGAAAAGCATCTGATAGACATATTTAAGATGTCAATTTTACATACATTCTAAATCATAAACATCTTAAAGACATCTTCTAAACGTCTATTTGACATCTGATAGGAAATGTCATATTGACGTATTGCAGATGAGCAAACACTCTAAAAAATATGTCTAGTAGATGTAAATGCAGACATCAGATAGACGTCTTCATGATTTACGTGTGCTATCGGGGTTGCAATTACGAGATATAAAATCCTATTGTGACAAAATTGGGTTTACGAGAAGTATCACAATTGTCGCAATTACTTTTATATGTGTATTTTTATACTCTAACATATACACAGACTTGACAGATTTGACATGTAAGTTTAACAAACACTTGAAATGTTGTGTCATTCTTAATTAAGTAGATGTGCTGTAGGTGCAGGTAGAAATTAGCTGCCCAATGGCAATAGCAAGATGGCTGCCAAGTGAACTGTTTAGCTGTAAAATGACTGTTTTCTATCACAAACCAGTCAATCAAGCTTTCACTGTAGTTTATTTCAAAATGTTATTCAATTCATTTTTAACAAGTAATGAGAGTGTCCTAGCTTGTTTATATGGCTGCTGTCTGCACTGCTTTTGCTTAGTAATTAATTCCTTTTGACTGGTAATGAGAGTGTCATCAAAGCATTCACTGACATTTTCTCATTGGGTACGTCGTTCTTGTTAACTGTCTCTCTTTTGTTCCCTCCCATTCACTGTCTTCAGTCTTTATTTCTCTCAGGTTCACCCCCCTTTTTCTATATCTTCCTTGTCCCTTCAAAGCGCTTAGCCAGACCACCTGGGGACAGAGACAGACAGTTTCAGATTTAGTTGCATCTCAGTTGCCACAGGCAGGCGCCTTCAGCTATGATAGCTTTCTGCCTCTCTTTCGGTTTTCCGAGGGCAACTCAAAGACTAACTAGGCTTTGAATCATCCCTTTGTTTCAATGTCTGTCTGGTCTTGTTAAACAAATAAGAGTGGTGTCATAAATTTGGCTGCAATTTTGAGAGAAATACAGCATGCAACCAATAAAGGGTGGATAGTAGTCATAGTCTAAAATTCTGTCCGCATTTACTGATACTTACATTGAATAAGTAAGTAAATGATAACAAATGTTTCATTTATGTGAACTATTTTTTAACACAGAATGTTGGGTAATGATTCCACAATGTTTTTTGCAATATACATGAGACTAGTTTTTTGTCTTCAAATCGTAGATCAAGTCAAAAACAGTTACTACATTGGTCTGGATGGCTCCTTGCGTCTGGTATTGGCCAATGGCATGGAAGTGTCTCTTCACACGGAGCCTCACCTGCTGTCAGGAACAGTCAACCCAACCATAAGCAAGAGAAATGTCACTCTGCCCATTGATAATGGACTCAACCTGGTGGAATGGAGACAACGGAAAGAACAGGCACGAGGACAGGTCACAGTGTATGGACGCAGACTCAGGGTAAGAACATCATCAAGTTTTATTTTCACATTTAATAATACTACTATTAGAATTTTGTACTCTTACATGAATTTCAGAGTCTAATATTTCTAAAAAAGCTGGCAGTACTGTGCTGTTATTGGAAAAGGTGGTAAAATCAAAGAAGTTTTTTTTTAAATCAAGACCACATAGCCATTTTTGCTCAAGTGTTACTAGAGAGCATTTGGAAGTATTTTAGACACATTTAAGAAATAATTATGAGAGCTATGAGGCCCACTAGCAGCACATCCAAGGCCAAATTGTCAGAAATCAATGCAAAAGCTACTATTTATGCTGTTGATAAACTGTTTATTCATTTGGAAAATGCTTTTATCCCAAGCAATTTACAGAAAAATTAATTAATTAATAAATATATCTAATCTTGTAAGTTGTGTTTCTGATTATGATCTAATGTCACAAAATTCAGAAAGAATTCTATAGAAAACACCTTGAATCTGAAAAAAAAAACAGTGAAATTGAAATTTATGCAGTTATGTTGTCGGTGTACTTTGAAAGTACTGTGAAGTTTGATTGACTTTAAGTGGTTCATATTTTATATTGTTTTGTAATATTCATTTATGATTTTATGATTAAATAATAAATATCAGTAACAATAATCGACTAATAATTTGTTGAAATACTTTTAAAACTAAGATTAATTATTCATTATTCATATTGCCTAATCTTTGCATTTTGCATTTGTTTTTTATTTTTATTCATCAAATAGAAATTGTCATTGTGTTTTGTGACACTTACTGTACAACCTACCTGTCATCAGAACCTCACATAGTCAGGTAATTGTGCACAGACCCTAGCGTTACCTCATCGTTGTCATCTGCTCATCCTGAGTTCATTTTATACCTTGCAGTCACACCTCTACATAGCAGCTCATCTGAGCATCAAGGCCCCTGTACTTGGAGTAATTGCATCCTGATTATAATCTCTATTGCTTCTTCTCATCAGTCTCATAGTCAAACGCTGTACCTGTCTTTTAGACAGATCACTCTTAATATGGCTGCCCCATAGAGTCTGGCCAGGCCATATTGGTCAAGTAGCTGCCTCCCAAGGTCAGCGTGTGTGTGTGTCTGTGTCTCAGTGGTCTATCCATCATTGAGCAGCTCTCTGACCCTGAGGGCTGAGGTCAGGGTTGACTCTCTCATGATCTTTAAAACCCAAAGGGTTTCCTCAGACAGCACCTGATATCTTCATAATTCTTGTGCAACCAGTAATGAGACCACCTCACAGCTTTTGCAAGATGATATATGTGCATATATACACACTACCATTTAAAACTTTTGGGGTCAGTAATTATAATTTTTTTTAATCGTTTTGTCCTTTTTTTCAGCAAGGATGCATTAATTTGATCTAAAGTGATAATAAAGATTTATATTAAAATATTTTTATTTCAAATTGCAGTTATTTTGAACTTTCTATTCATCAAAGAATCCTGAAAAAAAATGTATCATGGTTTTCAAAAAAATAGAAGGGCTCCTTTTCCCGAGTTTAGCCCAGGGAGGGCTCCTGTCCCCGAGTGTAGCCCAGTGAGGGTCCCTGTCCCCAAGTGTAACCCAGTGAGGGCTCCAGTCCCCGAGTTTAGCCCAGAGA